TCTCTCTCTTTAAAAAAAAGATTTGTTAGAAATTATAGGGAGCAGGTTTCATATAATTGGTCTTGCGAAATTCAAGGAGTCAATTTGAGAAGATCCTTTGAAAAAAGTGGGTGAGTATGTGTATGTGTGTTGCAGTGCTGGGGGCTGAATTCAGGGTCATGTCTGTGCTAGGCAAGCACATTACCACTGAGCTACATCCCCAGCCCTGGGTGAATATTGTTTTAAGAAATTCTCTCTATATAACTATATAATTCTATATATAATGAAACAGACAGTTGCCAAAAGGTATAAAAATGGTTCAATCCCAGGTTTTGGTGTGTGTGTGTGTGTGGCAGGGGGCAGGGGAGCATGCACATGCACAAAGATATAAGAATGTCTTAACCAGCAAGCTTTCAGAATGCATTTTTATTTTATTCAATTGCGAAGCAACTCCAGTTGTATATTCCCTGCAAAGGAGAGTTTTTCTGTTCTTCTCAAGGAGTTTTCAACTGCATTTAGATTAAATTTCAGGAAAATGTGTAGATCTGCTAATTTCATGGTTTTTGTTTTGCTATGCTGGGGATTGAACCCAAGGGGCACTCTACTATCAAGCCACATCTCCAGCTCTTATTTTGAGACAGGACTTGCTAAGTTGCCCAAGCTGGTCTTGAACTTGCAATCCTCCTGCCTTAGCTKCCCACACTGCTAGGACTACAGGTGTGCTGCTACCACACGTGGCTCCCTAAAGCATTTTTGACCAAATATAACAAACTATCTTCTGCTTTTCACTGGAATTATAGGCTCTGCCATTGTGTGTTCAGAGGCCTTAAGTTATTAAAAAATTAAATAGTATTTTCTTTACACTAAAAATGAACATTTCTTTTAGACTTTAAGTCTTGAATTTAGTTTTCCCCAGCATTTCACTCATATTCCTTAAATGTTGTATATTTAATCTTAAGAATGTTATTACTGGAATATTTGGACAGTGAAAAAAAAATCAGTAAATCCATTGTTATCTATACAATGGCTTTACCTTTGATCTATCTAAGAARTTTTTGCTCTAAGAGTGCTCAGGGCCACTACTGAGAAACAAGCCTCTGAAGGGTAGTTCTATCAAAGGGAGCTTTCCTCAGGAAGCCTTCAACAACACAAAAAGCTTATTCTTTTTGAAACTTTCCAGGTTTCTTAATTTAACCCCATTCTGCACAAATGTGTTATTTGGAATAAACAACTAYAGGCCTGCATAGGACAGCACTATCAGGAAAACTTTTTTTTGGTGAGTACTAGAAATTGACCTCAGGAGTGCTCTGCTCTACCGGTGAGCTACAATTCCAGTTCTTTTTTTATTTTGAGACAGGGTCTCACTTAGTTGCTTAGAGTCTTAAATTACTAAGGCTGGCTCCAAACTTGCAATCCTTCTGCCTCCGCCTCCTGAGTCACAAGTGCCACCATGCCCAGGTTATTTTAATTTTGAGACAAGGTCTTGAATTTGCTGTTCTGTTGCCTCAGYCTTTGGAATTGCTGGGATTACAGGAATGCACCATTGCACCTGGTTCCTTATCATAAAAGTTGAATTTTTGGATCAAAGAGCATGTACATTTTATAATTTGACAGATAGGTTAAGTAAGTTATTTTATATGTACACAATGACGTGCAGCCCATAAAAAGAACAAGTTGCTGGGTATGGTGGCTCACGCCTGTAATCCCAGTGGCTCGGGAGGCTGAGGCAGGAGGATTGTGAGTTCAAAGCCAGCCTCAGCGACAGTGAAGCGCTGTATCTAAAAAAAAAAAAAAAAATAGGTTGTGGCTCAGTGGTAGATAGTTCACCTGGCATGCATGAGACACTGGGTTTGATCCTCAGCACATATAAAAATAAATAAAGGTATTGTGTCCACCTACAACTAAAATACATATATATGTAACAGCTTAAAATTTTTAAAGTATTGATATTAAGAACTAATATGTTTGCAGCATATTAAATAGAAAAAGGATTTGCTTATCAGTATAAAAATCCCATTAATGTTTATGTAGAGACAGTAGTATTTCAAAGAGGAAAGTCYGGAAGAATATATGAGGAACTAATTGTGCTTAATTCAAATCTGAATATTATTTTTTAAATTACACAAGTAAAGCACAAATAAATTCATCTTGTAAAATTAATGCAGAAACAAAAACACAGGGGTGAGATGTGATGGTGCATGCCTGTAATTCCATATTTGAGAGGCTGAGGCAGGAGGATTGCAAATTCAAAGCAAGCCTGGGCAGCTCAGTGAGACCCTGTCTCAAAAACTTTCAAAAGAAGGCAGGGGAATCTGGGGATGTATTTCATTGGTAAATTATCTCTGTGTTCCATCCCCAGTACCCAAAAGAGGGGGGGGGAAAGGAACGAAAACATATATTCAAATATTCATAATAGTCCCAAACTTTAACATCCCAAAGTCCATTAACTTGCAAGTGCATAAAAAATGAATTATTACTTAGCAATTAAAAATAATAACTGAGGGGCTAGGGGTGTGGCTCAGTGGTAGAGCACCTGCTGTGCCCATGTGAGGCACTGGGTTCCATCCTCAGCACCACATAAAAATAAATAAAGATATTGTGTCCATCTACAACTAAAAAAAAAGTTAAAAAAAATAAATAATAATTGAGGACTCGGGATATAGCTCAGTGGTAGGACACTTGGCTAGTATGTCAGAGCTCTGGGTTCATTCCCCAGTACTATAAAAATACCCCCAAAACTAGTGATACATGCAATTACATAATGAATCTCAAAATCATGCTAGCAGAAAGCAGACAGACATAAAAAAAGAAAACTATATATAATTCCATTATGAAATCTTGGAAAAGAAAAAATTATGACAACAATGATCTGCTGCTGGACTGTGGTGAAAAGAAGGTGACTGAGGAAACTTTGGGATAAAAGAAATGTAAAGATGGTAACTACACTACTGAACACATTTGTTAAAATTAATCAAATTGGGGGCTGAGGCTGTAGGTCAGTGGCAGAGCACTTGCCTAGCATCTGTGAGGCACTGGGTTTGTTCCTTAGCACCACATAAAAATGAAACAAAATAAAGGCATGCTGTCCACCTACAACTTCAAAAATTTTTAAAAAATTTATCAAATTGTACATTTAAATTGGTGAATCGTATTGCTATAATTATATCTCAATAAAGCAGTTTTTAATATCACAGATCTCCTTTTACTATCACTCCAAAAATCAGGTTTTCTCACTACCTGTGGGGCTTTCCAGGTGCTTGTTTCCTGCCCCTATTCCCCCCGTTTTTATATTACCTACAGCTCTCACGATTCCCACCCCCAACTGTACTTTGGGGATCTTTACCTTAGACTGTTGTATATAGTTTTATATCATTCTAACTCGTGACAGTATTCCACAGTACCGATGTCAGTTTATTTCGTCATCCTATCACTCAACCATATTTACTGAGTGTCCAAGGTGTGCCAAGTCCGAGGAATACAAAAACAGACTAGTTCTCTGCCTTCTTAGTGCTTTTAGACAATTGGGGAAGGGGGAGCGAATTGTGAAGACATCATTAAATGTGAAATTTTAACTATTTTGGGAGTTTATGATGCTTTGAGCCTGAGTAATCAGAATATCTATTTAGCCAAGAAGTCAAAAAAGTACTATAAACAGAGCTGAAGGGTGGATAAACATAGAACTAGTGAAAGGGTGGGAACTGTGGCACTATTAAACCGAAACGTCAACAACAGAGTGATGAAGGAGGTGAAATTCATKAAGAACTTGATTTTATTAAACGTTCCTTCTTTTTAACATTTATTTTGTAATTAGAAAAAACAATGATATGTTTTTAAAATAAGGAAGCTTTACACTTCCTGAACATACAGAATAAATCTTTCATGCTTCTAAGAGAGGAAAGATACGAAACCTGGTTGACTTCCTTCTGTTAAAAAAGCAACAGCCGATGGAAATGTCTTGGAACTCTTGTCTTGATATAGGACCTGGTGTGTCCTACCACCTTACTAGATTGCCACTGTTTCTCACCCACAGATCTGTTATTAACCACTTATCTGTCTGAAATGCAGGGTCCATTTTCGCCTCTCCACCAGGCCAGATTTTGATCGCGTGCGTGAAAAGGGTACATTCGGGGGATCTGGGAATCCCCAAAGCGTAGCGTGAAAGAGAAAGACGCCCAAACATCACTATCTAACCCATAATGCTTTTCTCGCATTCCCGGAAGCAAGGATACAACTCTACAACACATTTTTCCGGGCGGAGGCATTTTGCCTTGAGTCTGATTGGAAGTGACAAAGCGAGGCATCATGGGATTTCGCCCTTCTCCCAGTACGCCTGTGCATCCGGCCTCGCCCCATTCCTGGAGCCACGTCCGGAAAGTGGCGGCGGTGAGAGATGCACGTCAGCAAAGGTATGGCCAATTCCCTGCGTGCGCAGGCGTAGTGGCGCTGGCAGTACCGGAAGAACAGGGGGATGGGGCGACGGTGACGCGAATCTGTCCGCGTTGGAGGGGCCGGGCCGCAGCCAGAGTTGCTGCGGCCGCCGTGTGACGTGGCACAGCCGGAGAATTAAAGTCAGAGCCTGAGCTGCCGCGCCAGTCGCCAAGCCGGTCCTCCACCCGCTAATTCCTGTCCCGAAGCTTCACCCGTCACGCCGGCCAACGAGCGGTCCCTGTCGCCCCCTTTCTGCCTCAGGTCTTTCTTTTCCCTTGCGCTCAGTTTGTTGGGAGTGTGAAAGGAGAAGGCCCAGGGACGCCCCGACCCCTTTTTCTGCCCATCGCAAGTGCCACTACCGCCATGGGCCTCACCATCTCTTCTCTGTTCTCCCGCCTCTTCGGCAAGAAGCAGATGCGTATTTTGATGGGTGAGTGAGGGACCGGAGGCCAGACCCCAGTACGGGTCGGGAAGGAGGCCGGATCTTGAAGCTTGGGGCCGCCTTGGGGCCTGTTTTTTCCTCCGCCAGCTGTGGTGGGGGAGGGGTGACGGGTCGGGGGTCGGAAAGAATTCTTTAGGGGGAACAGTGGCGAAAGGTGAGCGATTACCCCAGGTCGGCCGCTGAAGGGGCAGGTTCAGAGCCTCGGGAARCATTTTTCTTATTCTGTACTTGATTTTCCTTGATCTAATTGAAAACCGGACTAGATTGGGTGGAGATTTGGGGAAAGCGAACGCTGGTAAGGCCCGTTCTGAGAGTGAGATTTTTCTTTCCCTCTAACCTGGGTGTGGGCAGCAATTTAGAGGGAGGCTAAGCGTCTCCAGCCTTCCTCCTCCTCTTTTCCMCTTGGTGTTCACGGTCTGCGTACACCATTGGTAGGTGAGCGAGCGGCCACCGACGACTTGGAGCCGCCTGGGGCAGGAAGTGACCAGGGCCAGTGCGCTGGCGAGGGGGCACCCTAGGTTTGTGGGGAGTCCGGAATCTTTAGCTCATTTTGCTAAACTTTGCCTCGCGCTGGATTCGGCTTCTTTTTTTCCCCYCTTATTAATGAGCTGATTCCATGCAAACCAAGTTTAGCATGTATCTGTTTCTTTTGTCTACTTTTAAGAACTATAAATGTATTTGGTTTATTATAAACTAATATCTGTCCAGCTTAAGATTTAACACACAAAACTTTGAGAAACTACTTTTAAAACCTGGTAAATTTTTAATACCTTAACCGAACATCATGACGCTTGATTTTAAGATAACCTTATTAAATAGTAACTACAATTTTTTAAAATTTCTTTTCGAAAATTAAAATTTTAAAAACTACTTTTTCAGAGGCTTTTTTTTTTTTTTTTGCACAGCTGAGGGAGAGGGGCTGTCACTTGGGTGATGTAAGCAACCCCTCCTTCCTAGTACTGTGAGTAGTTTCTACCTCACAACCGAATAATAGACCTGAATAATGTTAAAAGTAGCCTCTCAAGTGTGAAGCTTGTTGGTTTATTTGTTTTCTAGAGAGTGGCAGTGGGACCTATTTTTCCAGTTCTGCTACTGTGATAAGTTCAATATTTTAAGGTATATGAAGAGTTATTTTACACATTTGGTTCTTGTTTTATTTTCCTCTTAGTTCAGTTTCTTTACAATCCATAAAACAATTGTTCATGATTCGTTCACAAAGACAAGTTAGTGTTTTTAAGTTTCTCATATTTCCTTTATAAGAGGACAGACTTAGAATGGCAGGCATATTATCTAAGTTTTAAGTGGCTGAAAATTGGCAGTCAGAAAAATAATCTGAAGTCAGGGGGAGAACTTTTGGACTATGATAAATAAAATTTCCAGCCTGTTTCTTAGAGGTTTACCTGGACATAATTGTGTTCCTGAAAATGTAGTGCATTGGTCGTTTTACTTAATGTTTATCACAAATCAGTTGCTATTTTTCCTTTCCTTGGTCTTTTGTGATGGTTAAAACTGTCAGAATGGGAAGAAGGGCAGAAATATGCTATAAACAATGTCTTATATTTACTTTCCCCTCTTTCCCACAWAATGATCAGAAGAAAATGGAAGGGGATAAGTATTTAATTTTCTGCAAGTGATAGAAGACAGGATTTGGAATTATTTATTTTATGGTTTGCTATTGTTTTTCATTAATTTTTCCTTTTTTTTGGTAGTTATAGATGGACAGAATGCCTTTATTTGTTTATTTTTATGTAGTTCTGAGGATTGAACCCAGTGCCTCATGCATGCTAGTCAAGTGCTTGCTGCTGAGCTGCAGCCCCAGTCCTATGGTTTGCTTTTTTTCTTTTGCACTTTAGTTTAGGAATAATCAGTTTTACTTGATTAAAAACACTTTTGTCACAAGGCCAACTTTTATGGTAACTTATTAGAGTAAGTACAAACAGGGATATGTTCTCAAGAACAGGGAAAGAGGTGGTTTAAAAGTTTGATAAATCTTAGGTTTTTCTTTGTGGCTTTAAGAGTGATTGACAACATAAATAGTAGGTCACAAAATGTATTAAAAGTTAGCAGTTAGCTAATGTGTCTGTTTTGCCAGGTTACTGTGGAAAAGATGTAAATTTAATTCCTGCCTTTACTGCTGTCCCAAAAGTTCAAGTTATTGAAAAAGTCAGTGTTGGAAGATAGGGCTGGTAGTTAACTGTAATTAGAAATAAAAAGCCAACACTATCAAATTTAAAGTCTTTTGGACTCTTGAAGGACAGAAACTGTAGTATTTATAAGGGCTAACTACTCATGTTTTGCTATTAAGTTTAAATTCAAGGGCAGCCAGATATCATCCGAGTTCTTATACAGCTGGAATTAGAAAGCAGTTAGCCTTACATTAACTTATTTTAAGTAGGTATCCATATCTTGGTCTGTGATAAAATGTTAGTTTTAATAAGGGAATCTGTGAATTTTTGTTTATATCTGAATATGCTCATGGGTTCTGCAGAGGATAGTTATTCTCACCTCTTTTACTTTGAATTTTTGAGTTTTTAACCTGTTGAAAAGGATCGAAAAGTATTGCTTTAAAAGTTTGCTAATACCAGTGTAGTCTGTATTGCCTTGAATGTTACTGTGGTTCTTTGGGACCAGAGGTTCAAGAGGAAGTATCTTTTATTTGCCAAGTTTAAGAAATATTAGCAATATTTTATGTGGGTCTTCAAACTAAAAGTGGTGTTTCATATTTTTCAGCATATTTTGTAAATCCATTTATTATGTAGTTTTTTTGCACTGATTAAAAAATATGTCCTGTTTGTGAAATTTAGACAACATGTGAAAGAATAAAGTAATAATTGCTTGTAATTACTATTTCACTATTATTTGTCATCGTTACTCTCATGTTTTAAAAGTTCCAAAGTAGCTRTATCATTTTACAATTCTAAAATTGTTTTTGTGATAGTTTTTGTTCTCATTTTTAACTTATCCTTATTGCAAGCATTTTCTCATGTCATTAGTTGAAAACATAATTGCTAGCCCTTTAAATTTTTTTTGTAAAGGGTCCTGGGCTGAGGATGTAGCTCAATGGTAGAGTACATGCCTAGCATGCCTGCGGTCCTGGATTTGAGTCTCAGCACTGCAAAATAAAATAAGGCCTTTCTGATTAGTTATGGGAATATAGGACATTTTCAAAATCTGGATGGAAAAAATCAAGTTTCATGTTACTAGAAGTTGATAGATACAGCCATACCTAGATACATCTGCATTACAACAAAGTGTGGCTAACACTGACTTTTATGATATGTTTCTAATTAACCTGATAAATCAAGTGCAAATGTTCCTAAACTGTTAAGTAGAAGCAAAACTTACACTCACTGTATTTTTTCATAGCTGGTAGCCTCAGTTTCTGTTTGAATGGTCAAACAGAAATATTAAGGTACAATACATCCTCCAGAAAAAGTTAAAGGCAGAATGGCAGTATTTATAAACAATACTTTAGTACTCTGGTGTCAGGATTAGGTTGTTTGTTGTTTTATTTTTTTAAGTTGTAATATTTATGTACCATAAAATTTATGGTTTTTAGTATTTTTGTATTTTGTAGCCATCACCACTCTCTAATTCCAGAATATTTTCATCATTCCAAAAAAGAAATCCATACCCTTTAGCAGACATTTCCATTCTCCTCTTCCCATTCTCTGGCAGTCTCTAATCTACTTTATTAATTTATTAAAAAAAATTTTGGAGGGGGGGGCTGGAGTTGCAGCTCAGCTGAAGAGTGCTTGCCTAGTGCGTGTGAGGCCCTGGGTTCGATCCTCAGCACCACATTAAAGTAAATTTTAAAAAGGTATTATTGACAACTACAACTAAAAAATAAATATTTAAAAAAAATTTGTAGTTGTAGATGAATTAGAATGCCTTTATTTTTTTATGCAGTTCTGAGGATTGAACTCAGTGCCTCACACATGCTAGGCAAATGCTCTGCCACTGAGCTAAAGTCCAGCCTCTCTAATCTACTTTATTTTTGTGTTTGTCTATTCTGAACATTTTATACCATGGAATCATGTAATATGTAGCCCTTTGTGTGGATTTTTTCGCTTGGAATGATGTTTTCAAAGTTCTTGTTGTAGCATGTATTTGTACTTCATGCCTTTTTAATTTTATTTATTTTACTTTTTAAATTTTTTAAAATATTTATTTTTTAGCAGTAGTTGGACACAATACCTTTGTTTTATTTATTTATTTTTATGTGGTGCTGAGGATGGAACCCAGGGCCTCACACTTGCTAGGCGAGTGCTCTACCGCTGAGCCACAACCTCAGCCCTTCATGCCTTTTTTAAATGGCCAAATAGTAATTCCATTGTATGACACTATAACACATTTTGTTTCTCCTTTCATTAGTTGATGGAAATTTGGACATTTGTACTTACTGGTCTCATAAATAATGGCATTATGATATTATGAACATATGTGACAAGTTTGTTTTGGTGGGCACATATTTTAATTCTCAGGTAAAAACCTAGGATTGGAATTTGGGGGTCATATGATAATTGTTTAACATTTTGGGGAACTGACAAATTGTTTTCAAAAGCAGTGTGTCATTCACATTCCCACTARCAACATTTGAGGGTTCTAATTCTACAGAATACCTAGGGTTTTGAACACCTGCTGTTTTACTTCTGTGATTCTGGGGACATTTCTGAACTTAAGATGCCTAGTCTGAAAAATGGAAGGTTATTTTAAGGATGTAAGTGTCAAAAATATGGACCTCGTACTCTGCTTGGAACACAGTAACTCTCAATTTTAAATGATTATTTTAAAATTATGGTGTATTTCAAACTTTTTAAGAAAATTTGAAGTGGAAAATGAAATTAAAAGGAAAACAAAATTTGAGAGAAAGGAAAACATGAAGAAAAATAATTTTTCCCATCTGGAAAGGGTTTTTTCTGTACCGTTTATTTTCCGTTCAAAGTTGATATAATTGCATCTGACTTCTTTTTTAAAATATTTTTATTTAGTTGTAGAAGGACACATTAACTTATTTTGTTTAAAATTTTTATGTGGTGCTGAGGATTGAACCCAGTGCCTCACACATGCGAGGCAAGGCCCTGCATCGGCCKTCTTTAACTTGAAATATAAGAATTTCTTACTGCTGTAAGTTGGTAGACATACTTTTTAATGATTGGCAAAGGTTACTGAAGTAGTTTTGCTTGGAATATTAACACTTTGAYCAAAGTACAGGCCTAGTTAAGAATAAGTAGTGATTCCAGCATATCTTCYAATACATTGACCTGTTTATAATAGTGGAGGGGAGGGAAAACTTACTGAATTGTACAGATTATTCTTCCCTTGGTTATTTGAGAATTGGTAATAGTTTCACTTTGTGGAAAAAAATCTATTGCCAAATATTGAAACATAGGGAAATACATATTAAGAAATGACTAAAGTGGGGCCAGGGTTGTGGCTCAGTGGTAGAGCGCTTGCCTAGCATGCTTGAGGCACTGGGTTCAATCCCCAGCACCACATAAAAATAAAACCAAATAAAATAAAGGTGTTGTGTTCATCTACAACTAATATATATATATATTTAAAAAAATATATATATATATTTTAAATATATATATTTAAAAAAAATAGAAATGACTAAAGTGGCATAAAATTATTAGACCAATAAGTTTTTGTGTAAAGAACTATAKAATGAGTTTTAAGTTGATGATGGTGTGTTCCTACAATTTGTGCATCTTAAAGCTCACAATAGAAATGCCTTTTTTTTTTTTTGAGTTGTTGACAGATCTTTAATTTTATTTACTTATATGCAGTGCTGAGAATTGAATCCAGTGCCTCACACATGCTGTGCAAGTGCACTACTGCTGAGCCACAACCCCAGCCTTTAAAAAACAAAACAACAACAACAAAAAACAACTCTTCGTTTGTATTTATACAGCACCATTATTTTGGATACAATTGAGAAGATATCTTTTCTGTGGCTATGAGCTATTAAAACTGTAGTTTGGGAGGGAGTTTTGTGGTGCTATAGATCAGACCTGGGGCTTAATGCATGCTGATGTGCTCTGCCACTAATCTACATCCCCAGCCCTGTTGTCTGGTAGTTTGTTTGTTTGTTTGTTATGCTGCTGGGAACCAAACCCAGGGCTTCTTGAATACTAGGCAAGCTTTCTACCACCTACCTACAGCCCTAACCCCTTGTAATTTTCATGTAAAAAATAATTTGTGGGTGCTTAAAAGGTTTTTCTGATTGCATTATTTTGTAAATGTTTCCCTAAAAAATAAAAGTTCTTATTGAAGGCTATAAAGCAGTCATCTTCAAAAGGATGCTTCAGGAAATGTAAACAGTTCAACATTTTGATAAAAGAAATTTATTTATTTATTTATTTAATGAAAGCCGTACYTGCTAATCAGGTTAAAAAAGACTCTACAGGCTGCTGTTGTAGTTAAGTGGTAGAGTGTTTGCCTAGCATGTGTGAGGCATGGGTTTGATCCTTGGTGCCACATAAAAAAATAAATAAAGGCATTGTGTATATCTACAACTGAAAAGAATTTTTTTTTTTTTTTAAATAGTCTGCAGTAAATAAGTAGAAGAAACTATGAAAACAGGCATCCTGAGGCTGTGGTAGAGTGCTTGACTAGAATGCTTGAGGCCCTGGGTTCAATCTCCAGTACTTGAAAAAGAAGGGAAAAAAGACTTACCATTATAAAACTTATTAAAAGAATAATTGGAATACTTCTGTTTTTTTCTATAACTTAAAATAATTATGTAATCATGATTCATCTTGGACTTTATGCATTCTTAGTATTTTTTGATTTATATTTTATTTTTATTTATTGGTGTAGTACTGGGAATTAAACCCAGGAGTGCTCTATCATTGAACTGCATCCCCAGTCCTTCTCATTTATTTAAGACAGGGTCTTGTTAATTTGCTTAGGCAGTTTAAACTGGCAGTCCTCTTGCTCAGCTTCCCCACTTGCTGGAAATGCAAGAGTGGGCCACCATGCCTGGCTTTTACATTGTTTTTAAAAGGTGGTATGAGGTCCTTCTGGACCTCCAATGAGGATTGGTTAGTTCTCAGAATATGATTTGAGTGCTTTTGTTTTTCATTTTCCTTTTTCCTAACCAGCATTTCAGTTTCAGTTATGACTTGGCTTAATTGTGTTTGGATTTTAAAGTGATTTTGTTGTTGTTGTTGTTGTTGTTGTTTTCTTAAAAATATCTATTCTCTAAAGAGAGATAGCATTGTAGAAAAATTAAAAGATTTGGTTGTTTTACACCCCTTCCTTTTGTGTGTGTTTTCACTGAAGATGTCAGACTTTACAGTAGTGTCTTCTCTTTGCTAATTATTCAAATTGTTTTCTTATTTATTTTTTTGTGGTGCTGGGGATTAAACCCATGGCTTGCACATGGTAGGCACTTTTCTACCATTGAGTTATATCCCATGCTCCCCGATCTTTTTTTTTTTTTTAAACACAATACCTTTATTTTATTGTTTATTTTATGTGATGCCGGGGATTGAACCCAGTGCCTCACACATGCTAGGCAAGATCTCTACCACTGAGCCACAACACTGGCCCCAAAGAGCACTTTATTTTTATTTTTGGTGTGTGTTGGGGATTGAACCAAGGGCCTTGTGCATGCAAGGCAAGCACTCTACCAACTGAGCAATAGTCCTCACCCTCTTCTGATCTTTTTGATACTGTTTCATATTAAAAAAATTTGTATAGTAGTTCTTATGCCCAAGAATGAAGGCTTGGGGTGGATGACTCATTGTACTGTATGTGTCATAGAATTTTAGAAAGAGTAAACCTGTGATCTAGTATAAAAGGGGGAAAAGAACTTGATTAGAGGGCACAGGTATAAGAAGTCATAGAGGCTAGAGCATGAAGGGAAATCTTAAAGTAGGGTAGAGAATAGGAAGGATTAGGYGGGATAAGTCTGAATTACTATATAGTCTTCATTTTGGACAAACTTTTAAAAATTAAACTTACTGCACAGGAATGAAAACAAGATAATTGAGATGATTTCAGTTTTTTATAAAACKTAACTGTCATTGCTTTCATGTGCTAAATTATGCTTTGATTTTAATATATAGAATGTGTCCTTGCTGCAATCAGTACTCAATTGATTTTTAAATAATATATATTTTTAGTTGTAGATGGACAGAATACCTTTATTTTATTTATTTATTTTTTATGTGGTGCCAGGAATCAAACCCAGTGCCTCACACAAGCACTCTCCCACTGAGCCACAACCCTGGCCCCTCAATTGATTTTTTAAAAAATATGTCATAAAAATAAATGAGGCTGCTAAATGTGACATTCTTAGAAAATTGAGAACATTCAGTGAGGTTATTAGATATTGGTCTTTGATTTATGAGGGCTTTTGCAAACAATATAGAATATACAGATTTTTGAGAGAGTCATACTTGAAAGGATTTAATTTGTTCTTCCCTATCACTAATAAGTATCATTTTCTAATGTGGATTTTTCCTCTATAGCAAGTACATTCCTCCCTACTTACACCTTAGCTTCAATTGAATTGTTTTAAGAAGAAAGACTTGATTTATATTGGAGAACCATTTTTACAATAAAAATTAAGCCAGACTTTGGTTCTTTTTTTTTTTTCTTTTAAGAGAGAGAGAGAGAATTTTAGTATTTATTTTTTAGTTTGTCGGCGGACACAATRTCTTTGTTTGTTTTTTGTATGTGGTGCTGAGGATCGAACCCGGGCCACAGGCATGCCAGGCTAGCGCACTACTGCTTGAGCCACATCCCCAGCCCCAGACTTTGGTTCTTATTTGTGCATATTTGATGTTGAAATGGATGAGGTAGGGGTATATTTAGCCTTTTCTTCATTTATTRTTATAAGGAGACCAAGACACTGTTACCTATATTTTCTCCTTAACATCAAGACATTTTGCTTAAAATTTGCTCTATAGATTTTGTTATTATTCTGTGTTCTCTGATTCATCTTCTAATTTGTTTTTGTTTTTTAGTTTTTTTTTTTTTAGTACCAGGTATTGAACCCTTTATTTTATTTTGAGAACGGGGTCTGATTAAAGTTGCCTAGGGCCTCACTAAGTTGCTGAGGCTGACCTTGAACTTGTGATCCTTGTGCCTGTGATCCTTGTGCCTCGCACTCCCAAGTTGCAAGGATTACAGGTGTATGCCTCTACACCAGGCTTTACCTTCTAATTTGTGTTTTAAAAAGAGGGTGGGTGATGGACAGGTTCTGAGATGTGCACCTGTAATCCCAGCTCCTTGGGAGGATGAGATTGGAAGATTTTAAGATTGAGGCTGGCCTCAGCGATTTAGTGAGGCCCTGTTTCAAAATAAAAGGGACTGAGAGGATGTACTTACACCCTTAGGTTTAATCCCCAGTACCACAAAAAATAAATAAATAAATAAATAAAAATCATTTAACCTAGGGCTGAGTATATGGCTCACTGCAGAGTGCTTATCTATCAAGTTTGTGGCAGAACCAAAGGTTAGATTCTGAGTCAACCAGATATTCTTTTCCTTTTGCTACTTTATGCTGTCTTGATAGGTCTAGAAAGAAAAATAGAAAGGCTTCTAGTATATTCCCTTTGGGGTGAGGTGATTTTTGTTTCTAACTCAGATTTGTGCAGTGAACAGTCAACTTTTACTTTCAAACTAATAAGTCATTATAAAATTATTTCTTTGTATGCTTTTGGTCTAGATTTTAAATCTGTAATGTCTTCTTCTAGTTGGATTGGATGCTGCTGGCAAGACGACCATTCTGTATAAACTGAAGTTAGGGGAGATAGTCACCACCATTCCTACCATTGGTAAGAAAGTTTACTGTTGACTTTAACTTACATCTTAATGGGAAAAAAGGCAGAGTCTGTGTTTTTGTTAAAACTTGATGATTTTCTTGATAGGATAACTAAGATAGTCCATAGTAAAGGAGTTTATTTTCTTAACAATGCATTATGCACAGCATTTTTGTTTTTCCTTGTAGGTTTTAATGTGGAAACAGTAGAGTATAAGAACATTTGTTTCACAGTATGGGATGTTGGTGGTCAAGATAAAATTAGGCCTCTCTGGAGGCATTACTTCCAGAATACCCAGGTAAGAATGGTATAAAAAAAAATTTAAGATCTTTTTTATAGGTTTCATGTAATGAATTTTACWTTAATATCTAGTGTTTACTTGGAGGTTGGTGTGTACCATATGAGTTGATCTTATTATTACTCCCATATTCTTTAGTGGACTTTCATTCATGCCTTTGAAAGCTAAACTGCCTGTGGTGAGAGTTAGCTAACCTAGTAAGATTTTGAAAGATGAGGTGGGATGGGTGCAGATGTGGTTTTCAAGAATGAGGTACCAGAAGATCTCAGACTATCTCCCAAATTAACAAGTGAATTACAACTTCCACAGAGAACAGTGGAATATGGTCTTTGAATCACCTCTTCAAAACCTCCTGTCCTGCTGATGGGCAGAATCACAGCCTCTGGGACAGGAGTCTCCTGTGTTTCTCCTTTGCTAGCAAAGCAAAAAAAAAATAAAATAAAATAAAAAAACTTCTTTTCTTTTTCTCAAAAAAAAAAAAAAGCATGAATTAGGTTTCTCATTGTTAGTTTAGAAAGAAAAGTATGTGTAAATTTCTATCGTAGTGGTTTCTAAWGAATGTAAGATAATGATAGACCTTCTCAAGTAGCCCAGTGTTTGTTACTTTATTTAAATTTATCTTAAAATATTTAAAATAAATGTTATGTTGACTTGTAAGATAATTTTATTAGTGTCATGTAGTATATGTAATACTGGCATGGAAGAGACTTTAGTGATCCTGTAGATTAGGAGTTCTCAAATTTAGCTGCATATGATAATCACCTAAGGAGCTCTCAAAATCCAGAAGCCTCAATCATATCAAAATACCACTTGAATCAGAATCTCTGAGCAAGTAACTAAGCATCATTAGCATTTCTAAAACATGAATGTGCATATGAATTACCTGGATATTTGTCAAAAATACATATTGGTTAAACAGAGCCTCGCCTGGGGTTCTAGCGAGTTCTCTGGTGATGCTGATTTTGCATCTTACAACAGTCATACTAACACTTTTGGGCTGTAAGTAAGGCTCTCTTCCTTGTCCTCTACTTATTAGATAAATGTCAGTAGCAGCTGTCTCACTGAATTTTGACAATCCAAAATTTGGAAAATAGTCCCTGGGAGCAAAATTGCTTCTCAGTGAGAACCACTGTTGTAGTTTAAATCTCATGAGGAAATTAAAACTTGAAATGAATTCAAGATTGGAGAATTCTTTGCTTAATCTAGTCCCRATTCTGCTGTCTCTTCTACTCACTAGTTTTTATTTATTACTGAAGTTGATAATTAAAAAAAATTAAAGTGTGATGGGGCTGGGATTGTGGTTCAGCAGTAGAGCACTCGCCTAGCATAGGCAGGACCCAGGTTTGATCCTCAGCACCACATAAAAATAAAGGCATTGTGTTGTGTTCATTTACACCTAAGAAATAAATATTAAAAAAAAATAAAGTGTGATATTAAAAGTACTGATATGTTTTAAATTTGTAACGTTAGACTTGCTCTCCAACATTTAAAATATTGCATGCAAATGAGATATAATGCCACCAGAGGGCAGTGAATATCCCAGGTGAGAGGTTGGAACAAACCTAGTATAAGTAGTAGGTCAAAATAAGAAAATGGGATACTTTCTTATTTAAAAACAAGAATGTRTATGTCATTAAAATAGCTTTGCTTATCAATGTTGCCCATACTTTAAAAAACTTTATTTTGGAAAATTTCAAACATACACAAAAAATAGAGTAGCATAATAAATTCCCATTTATTATAATTTTAGTTGTTGGATATAGTCAATATTGTTTAACCGATAGTCATGTTTAGTGAACCCCAATCCCCTGAATTATTTAAAAAYGGGTCTTAGCGTTTCATTTAKGAAGTTTTTGTTTTTRTTTTTGTTTTGGGAGTTTGTTTTTGTACTGAGATTGAAGCCAGGGTGCTTTATAACTGGGTTACATTCCCAGCCCTTTTTAAAAAAATTTGAGATAGGGTCTCTGGATAAATTGTCYAGGTTGCCTTTGAACTTATGATGATCTTGCCTCTGCCTCCCAAGTTGTTTGGATTACAGGTGCCACCACTGGGCCTGGCTARGGAGCATATTTTTGAAGTAAAGTTAAGCATCATGTAAAACCTTATAATTCTTGATCCACCATAACCATGGTTTTATCTCTGGATTTACTTAMAACACTTTGTAAGAATTTTTGAGTTTTAAATTTTAGATTAGCTCCATTCCTGGCCTTCAGGCCACCCTAGAATTAAAATACCAAGTATTTCTTCCTAGGGAATTCATATCTGCTGGAGAAAGTCTTAGGTGTCACCTGATGTAATCACAGTTAAGCTCTTAGCTTGCATTTCTAGCATTCCTGATCAGTTTTTCTCAGTGGTAGTGTACTTGCCTGGCATGTGTGAGGCACTGGGTTTGATTCTCAGTACCACATATAAATACATAAATAAAATAAAGGTCTATTAACATCTAAAAAAATATTTAAGAAAAGTAAAAAGAGGGCTGGGTTGTGGCACAGTAGTGTAGAGTGCTTGTGTAGCATGTGTGAGGCACTGGATTTGATCTTTAGCACCACAAAACAAATAAATAAATAAAGGTATTGTGTCCATCTACAACTAAAAAAATAAGGAGAAAGAAAAAAGAAAAAAACAAAACAAAAACATAAATAAAATATTTTAGAAGGTAGGGTTGTAGGAAGAAAAATATTTAAAGCAGTGAATCACATTAGCAAAATACGAATAGATTTTACCAAAGCTGTTAAATTAATCTGTCCCTGCTTTTCTGGCTGAGAATTTCATACTTTCATATATGAAAGTTGTTTTAACGTTTTGAGGTACTGGATTAAACCCAGAGCTGCTTTATCACTGTGCCACATCCCCAGCCCTTTGTATTTTTTGAGACAGGATCTTGCTAAGTTATTTAGGGCCTTTCTAAATTGCTGAGGCTAGTCTCAAACTTACAATCCTCTGCTTCAGCCTACCAAGTTGCTGGGATTACACCATGCCTGGCTTCCATTTGAAATTTTTTCAAAAAGTCTTAATTCAAATAATTGACTCCAAATGGTATCTCTTTTGTAGTACAGAATTATTATATTTGTAAATATCTTTAAAGACTGTCACTACTGAAACCCTGCCTCAAAATAAAAACATCTGGTGATGTAGCTTGGTGGTAGATCACCCTGAGGTACTGCCAAAAAAAAAAAAATCACTACCTTCCTTTTTTGTTAAGAATTTCTTATTTGCACAGGGCACAGTTGTGCACCCCTGTAATCCCAGTGGCTCCAAAGGCTGAAACAGGAGGACTGAAATTTTAAAGCCTGCCTCAGCAATTGAGCGAGGCCCTAAGCAACTTAGTGAGATCTTGTCAGTAAAATGTTTTTAAAAGGCTGGATATGTGGCTTATGGTTAAGTACCCTTGGGTTCAATACCCAGAGCCCCCCCCCMAAAAAAAATTTTTGTTTGATCAAGTGAACCTTGARATTTTCATGTTTTTGTTTGTTTTATTCCCAGATTAAACTTGATGAGATAGTTTTAAAGATTTTATGGGGCTGGGGATTTGGCTCAAGTGGTAGTGCGCTTGCCTGGCATACATGCGGCCCGGGTTCAATTCTCAGCACCACATACATACAAACAAAGGTGTTGTGCCCKCCGAAAAGCTAAAAAATAAACAAATAAATAAATATTAAAAATTCTTTCTCTCTCTTTTAAAAAAAAAAAGATTTTATTTTTCCTCTTTGGCAGTACTGAGGATAGAACCCAGGGCCTGTGTGTGCAAGGCAAATACTTTACCACTGAGCTACTGTGCTATATCACTAATCCTTGTGTTATATTTTGTTTGAGTCTTCTCATGATAGAGTGGGCAGGCAACATTCTGGAATAAGGCTYTTTTTTTCTTTCCACATTGAAGCATATGCAAACTATTTTAGGGCATGCTCCCCCTTCACTCCTGCCACTTTTTTTCTTTTTTGTAGCATGCTTTTTTGGGAATAAGCCTGTTCTTAGTAAATTCATGATTCTTTGGGATCCTTAGTTTATTCTTTTTCCTTTTGTCTTCACGTTGTGTTTATTTTGCTCTTTACTTACTTGTGCTTACATATGCTAGGGAAGAAAAAAGGGTTGAAAAGTATTTTAAGCATAGTTGGAAGTGGTCATTGGTTAAGATTAAGATTTTTCTTTTAGATTTGAAATTATATAAGTTAAAATCACAATTAAAGCTTATTAGTTTTTAGTATTAAAGCCCTGAGGTTTTTTTKTTGTTGTTGTTTTTGTTACATTTCAGTAAGGGAACATTTTCTTCCAGTGTCTAACCTTGATAACATTTTGCTAGTTATGTTTCATATTTACTCTGTGCCTTAAGTTTTATTTTATAATTTATTGAAATGATTTTTTTTCCTAGGGTCTTATTTTTGTGGTAGATAGCAATGATCGTGAAAGAATTCAGGAAGGAGCCCAAGTACTGCAGAAAATGGTAAGGATATATTTTAAATTTTATCATTTCCAAGGTTTGTTTTTCTGGGCGATTGTGGTGGTATTAGTGGTTGGTATATATTTTTAAGAGGTAGAAAGTAACTTGAGAAACTGTATTATTCTCAGATTCTTAAGAATGCACAAGAAAAAATCTCCTATAAAGCTATTTATTTATTTTTTTATTCGGTTCCAGCGATTATACATTGGAAGTATGTTTCTGTCACTGGACTTGCATCCATGACCCCCTATGGAGCTTATTTATTTATTCATTTATGTTTTTGGTACTGGGGATTCCATTGAGCTTATATACCTAGACCTTTATATTTTTTATATTGAGACAGGGTCTTGATAAGTTGCTGAGGTTGGCTTTGAATTTGTAATCCTCCTGCTTCTGCTTTCTGAGTCACTGGKATTACAGTATTATGCCACTGTRCAAGTCCCTGTAGAGCTTTTTTTAAAAAACAYAGAAGAAAAGCTCCTTTGATAAGTTGAGAAAAAGATGCATGGAGCTTAGTGATAGTATACTTGCCTGGTATGTTCAAAGCCCCTAGGTTCAATTTCTCATATCACCAAAAAACAAAACAAAACAACAACAAAAAAAAAAAAAAAAAGGGGAAGAAAAACTGCCCAGAATGCTCTGATTGATTTCAATGCCTATTTCTGGTGAAGGATATTTGATTTAGTCCAGTTCTTTATTTTTCTCATATCACCAAAAAACAAAACAAAACAACAACAAAAAAAAAAAAAAAAAGGGAAAGAAAAACTGCCCAGAATGCTCTGATTGATTTCAATGCCTATTTCTGGTGAAGGATATTTGATTTAGTCCAGTTCTTTATTTTACAAATATAAAGTCTGCAGTTTTTCAGTTTTAACCTGAGATTTCTCGTTTGAATACCTTCTTCTCAAGGTCATCAGGTTCAGTTTTCTTTTTTTTACAATACTGAGGATCAAACTCAGGGGCACTCTACCACTGAGCTATATTCCCAGCCTTTTTATTTAATGTTAAGACAGGATCTCACTAAGTTGCCCCTGGGCTGGCATTGAACTTGAAATTCTCCTGCTTCAGCTTCCCCAGTTCTTGGAATTATAGGAATGTGCTGCCACACTGGACTCGGGTTCAGTTTTTTCTGTGCTGTGCCTATTATTCAGAAACATTATATTTTATAACAGCAGCTATGATAAAGAATTCCATTAGAAAGAGGAGATTTGATTGACAGTGGCATTTCTGCCTTGCCATGTATCTGATTAATGTTCTCATGTATTTATGATTATTAAAAATCTGGAAGAGAGAAAAATTGTTGAGGAACCTTGTTATGGTTTCAGATGTATGGCCATGAAATATTGACTGAAATGAAATTGTAATTCTCATTCATTGCTCCTGTGAGTGGAATAGTTTATAAAAAAAAAATTTTCTGTTATTTGTATAACTGAGTCACTGATGGCTTTTTGCCTGTTAAGTCAAATTTCACCTACTCTTTGTTGCAAACAGTTAAATTGAAATATAATTCACAAACCATAAAAATGGGCAGCTAAGTCTGGGTTCAGTGGCACACGTCTATAATCCRAGTGGCTCCKGAGGCTGAGGCAGGAGGATCATGAATKCAAAGCCAGTTTCAGCAATTTAGTGAGGTCCTAAGCAACTCAGTGAGATCCTGTCTTTAAAGTATAAAAAAGGGCTGGAGATATGTATCAGTAGTTAATACCCCTGGATTGGGTTAAATCCCCAACACCAATAAGTAAAGATAAAATAAAATGTGCAAGTCAAGGCTGGGATGTAGCTCAGTGGTATAGCATTCAGTATATTCAAGGCTCTGGGTTGGATCCCTTGTACCCTAAAAAAGGTATACGTCAGTGGTCTTTAGTATACAGAGTTTTATAAACATCACTACGATCTAATATTAGAAAATTTCCATCATTCCAAAAAGAAATCCTGGAACCATTAGCAGTCATTCCCCATTACTTCCCTTTCCTACCCACATCCCTGGCCTCTGACAACCACTAATCTAGCATTCGTTTCTTTGTAATTATTTATTCTTTATGTTCCTGTAAATGGAAATATTAATATGTGATCTTTTGTGTCTAACTTGTTTCACCTAGAATGATTTTTCAAGGGTCATCCATGTTGTGTTATACAATATTTAATCCTACTAGCTTTATGCTTGGTACTCTTCTTGCACCTTTTATGATACTACTAATATCTTAGTAATTTTATTTTCTCAGTGTTGTGAGACCCCATTGTCTGGAAAGGATAAAAATCCAAAAGGATCACCATCTAAATACTTTTGCCTCTAAGTACTGWAAGATCATGCCTTAAACACTATATTCCCTTATATATTTCTTGTCCTTGGCAGTCCTCATTCTCTGTGGAAATTAATGAAGGTGATTTGCCTTGATGGGGTATAGGATGATTGGCTTAAAAAACATTTTTGCTTTGCTTCAAGGCATATGATTATTTACTCTGGATTTAAAAACTGAAAGATATGAGATTTAAGTTGTAAGAGTACCTGAAATTTACGTAGAGAAATTTGGTTGTTGTTTAACACTATTTAATGTTGAAAAAAAAAAAAAAA